CAATAAAATAATACAACAGTATTCAGAAATTGTCCCTTGACTAAAATTGCACTCAAAATGACCATACATAATCAGACTAGTTATCCTTGCAGTAGAGATTACAATAGCAAACAAACTTATAAAACATTGCATTAAAAAAAATGATCACTGAGATAATGTCTTTAACATGTCTAATGTACAAAACATAAACTTACGACATTGCCTCTATGATGATTTATGCTGATGGTGCTTTATGATGACTAAATAGGAAATATCTTAAAAATAAAAGTATTGCTTTTTACAAATAAAGTAGATTAATTAAATACATTATGAATTTCACATTTTAACAAAGGGAATATGCATATAAAACATTTGAAGAAGATATTTTAAAGTGAAAGTTCTTAAAGGGCAACACAAACATCAGATTTGAATGTAAGATGCTCAAAGTTCAATGCAAAGGCAAATTTGGCGGATGTAAAAATGACGGATGTAGTACGTCCGAATTCCATTCATACTTTTCACGTTCATACTGTATAGAACGTACTTTTTTAATGGCTGAGTAGTACGTTTAAATTCAAATGCAATACCTACCGAGTAGTAGGCGGTTTCGAACGCAGCCAGTGACTTTTAGAGTTAGCTTAGCGTTAGCAAAGCCTACAGCAAACAAACTTTGGGAACTACAAAATATACATCCAAGTAAATGATGTCATAAAACCTTGTTTACACTGCAGGAGACAGAGGGGGTCACACATGCAAAAGAAAGGATATCTTAATATTCTGAATTAGAAAAAAAGTGGTTAACATTAATTATGTATAAACTTTAAACAATTTTATTTACAGCAGTGATTCTCAAATAGTTTTTTTTTTCTAGACCCCACTTCTGTAAAAGAAAATACTTTGAAGAATCTGAATTTTCTGCATCATTACTCAACCCTTTAGACACTGTAGGGTTCAGCCAGTTGGTCCAATGACAGCTTCCACTGGTGGATAAAGGTTCACTGCATGTTCGGTCTTTCCAGTGCACAATGTTGATTTATATTAAACTTAACTCATATCTGACTCCAATTTTAGTATGACGTGGTTTAGAATATTAATATATTTATCCTCGTTTTATCTGACTCCAATTATAAAACATTGATAAGATTATTTTGTTTCCTTTCACATTATTTTAGATTATGATTGAATATATTTTTTTGATTTGTTATTATACCTTATTCTCATTTACTCAGATTCCTATAGCATCCTGAGTCTTGCACCGGCCGGGTATACAATCTCTTAATACAAGCTTCTCAGTCTTGGTCATTAAACAGAGGCGATTAACCACTCTCCTAAAAAGGCAGAACCCTACTTACTCAATTTAGGAAATTTTTATGTGGTCCCCATAATTCTGTTATCTACTAAATCAAGACAAAGTATTTTAATAATAATCGCACAGGATTATAAGTTAATAGATGGAGGCCAAAATACCCACATTTAGATTGGTTTCAACAATATTTTGTTGTTCTAAATAGAAAACCCATAGTTGGCCTTTTACAGTCTAAGTATACTTGAATTAATGCCAATTTGTTAGTCGGATCTCTCGCTGCTCCGTCTAACATGTTTTAGTCCATTACTAACCTGTACAGGGGCTTGCAGTGCTATGGACAACAACATTTACCAGTGATAATAACACGAGGACTGTTTAAATAATTCAAAATTTAACAATTTTTTAGTCAGGTAAATATGTATTATGCCAATTCATTAAGTCAATTCATAAACGATCAATACAAGACATCAAATTATCAAAGATAAATCCAAGATCAAAAGATGTATACCTGACTTCAAAAATATACATAACATTGAGCGTATGCTCCATGTTACGGGCTGATCTGGGTAAGCAGAATCGCGCCGAACATTTCTCAAACCCAATCTCAAAACTTAAAAGTAATCCAAGAATCCTCTCAAGGAAAGGGGTGTGTGCATAACAAAAAGCATTTGCATTTAGTGCTGCATGTGGGAAAGTCACACCCTTCACAGTGATTCAAAAGATGCCTGAAGTTTAATATTTATTGTTTTGATTATGTCTATTTCTGAGAGAATGAGACCATTGTACCAATCGCACTGAGACATTTCAAATGAAATCAAACATGATAGATAAAGTCACTTGGGTTAATTTAGAGCATTCAGACTTTGAAATGACCATAGTGTGAGTTGGGGTGGTTGAAGTCGAGTTTCAGTGGATTCAAATGTAAATGTAGGGGGAGCTGGCTTTTCCCGCATTCCCACCTGCTGGGTTGTGGAGTCAATTGTCTCTGCTTTCAGCTCATGTTTGAATTGCCAAAGACATTAAAATATTTGTAATATCTCAATTCATACAACACGTTCCTTTAGAAATTATTTCTATATGGTGATTTGCTTCCCCAATAGTATCTGACTTGCACATCCAAACTAGGACTCAAACAGAATCAGACAGATGCACTCAGTAGAGCTAGTAAATAGCGTAGAGTAGTCATAGAATATTGACCTCACTGTGGGGGGTAGGGTTAGCGGTTTACAGGTTAAGGGTTAGGTTTACATATTAAAAAGCATTGCATGCAGTCTCAGATTGCATGTGCATCCGTTCTTCAGCCAGACACTTCTAAAGGTAAACAGTTGGGTTTAACCATTTTTAAATCCTTTCAGCCAATCTCAGGGTTTGGTGGGAGAGTTTTAGCTTAGCTTAGCAAAAATCACAAAATCGGATTAGACTATTAGCATATTTTCCAAAAAAAAAAAAAAAAAAAATGTATAAGTTGACACTTTACCTATTTAAAGCTTTATGTAGTTACATTGTGTACTAAGACTGATGTAAGAATTAAAAGTTCTATTTTCTAGGCCTGATCATGACCCCAAAACTAAACCAAACCATGAAAAAGTCTGTATTGATGTTGCTGACCTTGACTGCAATATTATATAGATTTGTTGCTAGCCAACAAAATAAATCTATTGACACAGAGTCAGGTTTCAGATTTGCTCAAATACATTTTTGTATTTTACTCATTTTTTTATTTATATATCCTTGGTTGTGATCTTAAGTGATTTTTAACATTTTTTAAATCAATGGATCAACAAATAACAGGTGATAATTTAATATTATTCAACTTACATCCAAGATAATACTCAAATTTACCACACAGAGTCACTATAGTAACAAGTGATAATTTAATATTATTCAACTTTCATCCAAGATAATACTCAAATTTACCACACGGGGTCACTATAATAACAAGTGATAATTTAATATTATTCAACTAACACCCAAGATAACCTTTACACATAACATTTAACACTTACAGAATTCTGTTTTACTGAGAATCTGTCACACCCCTTGCGTGCAATGTCACAAAATCTCTGTTCATCCCAATCCCTAATCATAAAATATATGTCTTAGCAAGAGGAGCAAGAGGAAATAAACACATCGTATCACGACAGATAAAGTAAATATCATCATACATACTCACATAAATAATGTATTAAACCTAGAATGATACACTATTGCCTTCGTCTCTCATGCACTGCTCAAACAGCATATCTCTGTATCACACTTATGGTCAATCGACATTAACAGCCGCTCTCTTTAAGCGGAAATACATATTTTTGTGCCCCGGATATATATATATATATAAATAAAGGGTGTAACGGTTTACAAAAATCTCGATTCGGTTAGATACAATACAGTGGCGTCATGGCTCGGTACATTTTCGATAAGAAAAAAGCCAGAGGATTCCTCTGATTAAATTTTTTATCTATTAAAACTAACATCATAAAAGTATGATCTTGTTTTTTTTTTTTTTTTTTTTTTACTTTAAACAGTGATAGAGCTATACTTCCGGGATTTCTGCTGAGCAGCAAATAAAACAAATCCTTCTTTATACTCTAAATAAAAAAAGCTTCCTATAAAAAATAAATATAATATTGTAGTTAAACAAATAAAAAGAAAAGGACCATTTAGTTTGTATATGGAACTCAGTTCTTTTTTATTTTTATAAGTATTTTTTTTATTTTCAGAAAGATGAGTGTGTCCACCTTTTCCTTAGACAGCACAGATCTGCTTGATTTGACTGTCACCTGCCATTTCAGTGGATCTGAAAGCAGGAATTATCTGACTGAAATGGGCTCATGAAGGAATAATGTAACGGGGCTCTATTACATTTAACATTTTCTGAAAACATTTTTTTCCACCACTCTCTTGGTGGCGGTGATGGTGCGCGATGTATCTGAAGAGCATTGGGGGCATGTGCATGCGACGTACCTGAGCGGCGGGGGTGAGTTTTGCCCAATGTACCTGAAGAGCTGGGAGGGATGTGGTGGAGAGGGGTGTGCGACGTATTTAAGGACTGGGGGGGAGACGCGCGATTATCCAGAAGATTGTCATTCGTTTGCCGGCATCCAGGAGTCTCCCGGAGCTTCTGGGAGACTTGGGATTTGAGGGACTACATTAATGTTACTAGCCAGAAGGCAGCATGTTGTCTGCCAAGTCATTTGGGATGCCATGTTGAGTGTTGTTGCACTGAAAACATTATATTTTGTACTTATTCCCTTTTATCTTTTTAGATGTTAGTCTGAATTGAATCGTTCGGTTTGTAATGCGTACTGAACCGAAAGTCTTATACCGAACGGTTCAATACGAGTACGCGTATCATTTTAGCAAGCACAATAGACCCTTTTCACATGACCTCATGTGTTGTCTGGTTTCACTCCATGCAGTGTACCATACTTCCACCTACACAGAACTCCCTATAATGAACTCACCCAGTCAGCTTCACCCCATTCAAACTTTTAGCCACCAGCCCCACTGTCTCCTGAAAGTAGCCTGACAGGTCTGGGACACAGTCCCACACGGGACTGTAACAAAACATGTACGAGACATGAGGGAGAAGATTCCCTCCCTGAGTTCCATCCTAGCAATAAAGTAATGGTACTGGTCCCCACCAGAAGATTTTGGCCACCTGGAAGGGTAGTTACCTAGTCATCGAATGGGTCGGGCCGGTAATTTAACAAAAATGTCAGCCTGGACGAAGAAGAGAGGAGAAGCTGTACCATATAACCATCCTGAAATGGTGGGTCCCACAACCGGAAAAAAACTGGCTGCTCCCCTGCAGTGGGTGGCAGCGGCAAAGGACACCAACTAGGTCACCAGGTGGTTCCTAGTGCTTCAGGACTTCCACTTTAAAGTCCAACTTCGAGCTGCCTATGGGAATGCTGATGGCCTGTCAAGGATATGGTCCAGGTGGGCTCCCATAACATCTCCTCTCTCTCTCATAACAGGATGGTGGTTCAATCCACCATGATGCTCAGGGGTGGGGGTAGGGGTACTGTCGCAAGTACTCTTCTCCAATGTCGCCAGAGAGCAATAACTACTGTCACCTGGACTCACCTCATCAGGATCAATCACCAGCAACTGCAGACAATCAGAGGGAGAGGATATAAGCAGACGGCACCAGAGCTTCAATGAGCTACAAACTCCCGACTTACCCATATGCTAATTTCTCTCTACCTCTCTCTTCAGAATTAACCAATTGCATAAACCCTCACCAGACTGCACCCTGCACACCCTGCAGAACACCCTAACTCACCATCTAGAAGTCTTCACAGAGCACTACTTAACCTTTCATCTGCACTCACCTTCTGGATTTGTTGTAAATTAATCACCCTCTGGGGCTTTTCTTGAATATACGCAGTCTTTGTGTTGTGTTTGGTTCCTTTTCCTGCCACAGCTGTCAGGGCAGAACCTGCTTGTGTCTTTATGTCATCTGTCTCTGCTGTGAAAATGTTTCATTTCCAGTTAATTATTTTCACAGTTCATACTTTACAATGTAATACTTTTCTTTTTCAGGTTCACCTGGAAATGCAAAAGATGCAGTAGGAGAGATCATATCTGAGTCAACGATTAGAGATTCTGAATCAAATGATTCCACCAAGGTAAATTGCTTTAGATCTACTCTTTACAACATTATAGTGTTTAAACTACTTTTTAACCAGCATAATTTACCTCTTTGTAGCTTACATTGAAAGAAACATTTTTCTGAAGAAACTTGGCTTGAATATCTTTAGCTTGTAGAACATAATATTTGAATCCAAAAACTTTGGTTCACAGGGACTCCTATGTAGTATTAGATATGAAAGGGTGTGGCAATGAAGCTGAGGTTCCAGTCCTGTCTTTTATTTAAATAAATGGTCTAACAGGCAAGAGCAGCAGAACAGTAGCAGTTACAGGAGCAATCAGTAACATAAGGAGCAATCAACAAGAGTAATCAACAAAACAGGCAAAAGTTTTTTTTTTTCAGGTTTGGCCCAGCAGTGGAGGCTCTGGTGGCCAATCGTGTAGATCTGAGAGCAGTGGTGGCTCTGGTGGCCAATCGTGTAGATCTGAGAGCAGTGGTGGCTCTGGTGGCCAATCGTGTAGATCTGAGAACAGTGGTAATCCTGGAAGCAGCAGCTCTATCACAGGAGTGTCAAACTCATTTCCTGGATTGCCACAGCCCTCCAGAATGTGGTTCAAACCCTCCTTCAACTCACTTACTTGTAGGTTTCAAACAAGCCTGAAGAACTCAATTAGTTTGATTAGGTGTGTTTAATGAGAGTAACAGCTAAAGTGTGCAGAGCTGCAGCCCTCCAGGAACTCAGTTTGACACCAGTGCTAAAGAAGCTTGGGCAGTGATGAAGGCTCTGGCAGTTAATGAGACATCTCAACATTCAATGCAGATGCTGAAAGGGTTAAACAGGAGCAAACGGCAATATAAGGGGCTATTCAAAAGAAAGGCAAAAGGTCAGGCCAGGTAGCAAACAATAATAAAACACAGAAGTTAAAACAAAAAAAAGACAAAAAGTGGTACTTACAGTATATGTGAGTCAGTAAAGTTCAGCAGCTGTAAGTGTAATGTTGTGGGAGGTCTAGCTCAGGTGAATAGCTATTGTGCTGTAACTAGTCAGCCTGCAACAGAGGTGAGGATCCAAATGCAGTTTATTAAGAAAATCGTCATGCAGGCAAAGGTCAAAACAGGGACAGAAAGGACCATGCAGATCATCCAAAGGCATAAACAGAAGTACAGGCGAATGGTCAGGACACGCAGCAAAACAATGTGAACAGTAAAAAAAGCTAAGATCAAAACACGAAAAGCAAGGCAAGACAAGGACAAAGCTTTGTTATGCTCAATTAAAGTTTACACAACTCAGCAATGAGAAATAGGTGTTTTTATAGTCCTAGTAATCAGTCTATCATTAGCTTCCAGCTGTGTGTGTGTGTAATCGGGGGAATCAGGAACTGGTGTGTGAGTGCAAAGACTTTTGGGAGTTGTATTTCATATATTGGCAGATGTGTAGTTCTCCAGCAATTTGCACAGGCTAGATTACTGGTGATTGTAACAGGTGCAAGTTGAATAGCTGGAGTGTAATCTAAATAGTTCAGTTTGTTGCAATGTTAATTTTGTCAGCAAATGTTGATTTAGTTTTAGTCTTAGTCTTCTGACTAAAATTCCATTTTAGTTTTAATAATATTTTAGTCTTCTGAATCATTTTACTTTTAGTCTAGTTTTAGTCAACTAAATTTCATAAGATTTTACTACTCTAGATTTAGTTGACTAAAATATATTTGGTTTGATTTAAGTGTAATTTAATTAAATATAGTCTATATTTATTTGTTTGTATAAAATATTCGAACTTAAAATTAAATAAATTTGTCTGATTAAAATATGGAATATAGCTTTTCCATTGAAGACCAAAAATTACATATGCATTGTTTATTTATAATATGTAAAATTTTGTGTCTGCAAGAACAGAAGACTTTTGAAAATGTAGGACTTCATTTAAACCCTTTATTTTAACCTGGTATTCTACCAGTCATTTTAACAAGTCTGTGAAACAGTTTCATGCGATTAAATCTTTAAAAGGGCTTGAAATAGTTTAAGTATGCTTTGCAATGTCAGTCTATAGGAGGCTTTACTGTTGTAGTTAGTCTGACAGTACATGGTGCTGAATAACTAAGTAATGACTTATGACTGGCAAATGATAATGTATTATCTTGTTAAATGTGCACTTAGCTCCATGGCTCTGTTAACTCGCATAGAGGAAATATAAAGTGAAAATGTACATAAAAAATACAAGAGCGATTCACTTCAAGGCAGTTTTGTTACAATGTGATTTTCTGATAAGCGGAGATTATAGCACTCCAGTCTCATTACATCCTTACGCCTGTTTCACACCGCAAGCGTCAGCGGCACGTGAGCAGAGCGTGAGCAGCGCGTATGTCGAGCAAAAGCAGCACGCAGGATTTTGCCTTTCACACCAGCTGCGTCTGCAGCGCGCAGCTCTTCGGCAGCTGCTGCAGAGATCAACCTATCTCTGTCTATTCTATCTAGTTCCCCTTCGGGGGGAACTTCAGCACTATAAGTGGATTTGATTTGTAAAATCCACGCATTGGGAGGTTCGGTTCAGAAGCTACTCGTCTGAAAGAGTATTGAACGGGCCAATTAAGAATGAATTGGCAGCGCAAGCCTGCGCAGGTGAGCGGCATAAGCAATCAACTGAGTATATAAGCTCACCTGGCGCCAGCAGACGCTATCCTTTTCGCTTCAGAGACTTTCTGATCGAGTCGATGAGGGTTCCTCCTGCTGTGACCAGCGATTCTGAGCGAACGAGAGCATTCTCCCGGTCCAGAGTGTGTACACGCAGTGGCAGACGGTCGAGCTGGGTTTCTCCCTTGCCTGGCGTTCTTTGGGTCCGGTCCTCCAGAGCGGTGCGTATAAAGTTGCAAACTTCACAGAAAGAGCAACACAGTCGTGCAGCACGTCCTTATCAGGACGGCGCTCCGACTGTGCGTTTCTGGATGCGGTGGTTTCCTGTCCTCGGATGATGGGCGCGGGCACTGCGTTACATGTCTGGGGGTCCAGCATGTTAATGCGCTGCTCGCGGGCAGTTCATGTCGTCATTGCGATGCCATGACTGTTGCGCAAGATCGCGGTTAGCCTTTGCAAAAGGGTGAACCACCCCAGTTGTCCCCTGCTCTGCAGCGGGCACTCGGGCAGATCTGAGGGTTTCAGCGAGAGATAATCCGTCGCCCACGGGCCCGCGGACCTCCCGCTCCTCTAAGCGCTCCATCCAAGCTTCGGGCGGGGGAAGCGATCCGTCTAACAGATGGTAGCCCTTACGCCCGATGACACCGGAGACCAGATGTCCACCGCGGCATCGGAGGGTGGGCTTTCATTGTCCGATGATGATCCAGACCCGCTCGCCCCCTTCGGGCTGGTGAGCGCTGTCACTACGGATCCTGAAACGGACATGTTAGCCGTGCTTTCCCGGGCTGCTTCGGCCGTGGGTTGGAGATGGTTTATCCCCCAGCTCCGCGGCCGGACCGACTAGAGGGGCGTTCCCTTCTTCCCAGAGGTGCACAGTAGGCTCACGCGGTCTTGTAAAGCACTTTTTTCTGCTCGTGCTGCGTGTTCCTCCACCCTAACCACTCTTGACGGTGAAACAGCCAGGGGGTATGTGGCGATTCCTCAGGTTGAGTGCGCGATGGCGGTAAATCCGCGCGGCGCCTCTTCTTGGCGGGATCCGCCTCGTCTCCCATCCAAAGCCTGTAAGTTATCTACCTCCCTCGGAGCTAGAGCTTACATAGCTGCGGGCCAGGCTGCTTCAGCCTTGCATGCGATAGCCACCTACTAGCGCTACCAAGCGCAAGCGCTGGCCGAGCTGCACGAGGGTGGGTCCAACCCAGGCTTACGAGCTTCGCACCGCCGCCGACTTAGCTCTTCGGACTACTGAGTCCGCTGCGTGTGCGTTGGGAAGGACGATGTCCACATTAGTGGTCCAGGAGCGCCACCCCTGGCTGATATGCGCAAAGTCGACAAAGTCCGCTTTCTTGACTTCCCCATATCCCCAGCCAGGTTCGGCGACACTGTCTGTGAATTCACCCAGGAATTCAAGGCGGTGAGAGAGCAGTTGGTGGGTGATGTCTTATCGGCGGTCCGTAGCCCGCTCCGCCCGCCGTGCCATTCATACCTGCTCCTCGCCGAAGGCGCCCGCCTACGAGAGCTGCTCCGCCCCCGCACACGCCTCAGGCGAAGCGAGCGCGTCGGGCACCTCGGAAGCAGGCAGCCCCCCTGCCCAGAACGCCGCTAAGTCCGGCAACGGACCGCGAAGCGCCCCTGGGACAGGCCATCTGGAGAAGAGGGAACTTGCTCTTTCCCCGCTGGAGGGCGGGGCCCCATTTCCAACGGCACTTTTTACTGCCATGAAAACATTATGAAAGGGCACTTTTCACTTCCCCAGATGTGACAGCCCGAAATCTGCCAGTCTGGGACGCTATGCTTTCTAGCTTGCAGATTCGGTGCGTTTCGCCAGTGGCTCACGAGCGCTGGGAGGACGGTCTCCTTTCTCCCACCCCTCGAGCCTCCCCTCCGGAGCTCGGGTTTGGAGTGAGAGCAAATATCTCACCTCCAGCTTTTCCGTGGGACCCGCGAGCTTCCCGGATCAGCACACCCACTCCGCGCTGCCCCACTGCTGGTACGTCAGCGATTGTAGCGATGAGTCCATTAGCGAGAGCTCTGCCTGCCTGGTTAGCGCGGGCCAGCTCTTCGCGGTGGCTCATACGCACAATCAGACTCGGCTATGCGATTCAGTTCGCGAAACGGCCCCCCAAGTCACGGGTGTGTATTCACCAGGGTCAGCCCCCTGTCCGCCCCTGTCTTGCGAGAGGAGATTGCTGTCCTCCTGGCGAAGGATGCAATCGAGCCGCTCCCTCCAGCCGAGATGGAGAGCGGGTTTTACAGCCCACGCTTCATCGTGCCCAAAAGAGCGGTGGGTCACGGCCAATCCTAGATCTGCGCGTTTTGAACCGCTGCCTGCACAAGCTGCCGTTCAGAATGCTCACGCAGAAGCGCATCCTCCGGTGCGTTCGTCCTCTGGGTTGGTCTGCAGCATTAGACCTGATGGACGCGTATTTCCATGTCTCCACTCTTCCTCGCCACCGACAGTTTCTGCGGTTTGCGTTTGAAGGTCGAGCTTGGCAATACAAAGCCCTCCCCTTCGGGCTCTCTCTGTCTCCGCGGGTCCTCACCAAGCCCGCGGAGGGTGCCTCAGCGCCCCTTCGGCTCGCGGGCATCTGCATACTCAATTTCTTTACGACTGGCTGATTTTTGCCCTCTCTCAGAGCAGTTGATTATGCACAGAGACAAAGTGCTCTGGCACTTCCACCTGTGGGGGTTTCAGGTCAACCGAGAAAAGAGCAAACTCGCCCCCGTGCAGAGGATCTCTTCTCTCGGGCTGGAGCTGGACTCGGTCACCATGGCAGCGCGCCTCTCCGGAGAGCGCGCTCAGCTGATGCTGTACTGTCTGAGAGAGCTCGACAGTAAAATAGTGGTCCCACTGAAACTATTTCAGAGGCTCCTGGGGCATATGGCATCCGCAGCCGCTTCATGCCGCTC